AGTTAAATTAGATTAAATTCGGTTAAAAATTCATCAATTTTTTTTTTAAAAATTAAAATAATACTGTTTTGATTTAAAATGAATAAATTAAACTATCTTATTAATGATTTAGACCTCATTCCATGTCAATTGGGGACATTATGTTTAATAACCATGCTTAAAACAGTATAAAGATAAGAAACTTGTATGACATTGCTTTCAGATTTAGCTGGAAAAATATTCGATGGGTGGGATCTGGTCCTGCTAGGAGATGATGAAATTATTATTATTACAAAATTGCGTAACTTAAGGGGAGATATATATATATATATTTTTTTATTATTCTTACTTGTTTAAGTGGCTGTTAAGTGGGGACAAATGGTCTCTTAAGTCCAAATTGATGATTAAGATTGATTTTAATTTTGTTAGCTAGAATCCAATGTCATTTTGGATTTCACTGTGCATCAAATTGATAGAAATCTTTATAGTAATAATAAATAATGTATAACAATAGATTGTGTTGTACACAAATGTTATTTTTAGTATTGTACGTATAAATATATTTTATGAACTATTTAATGTATTTAATAAAAAAAACCATATGTACGGAAGCATAAGAAATTAAGGTAACTTTGCCTGTTTTAGCACTGTTTTTTAAAAGCGTTTTTAAAAAAAGTTAATTTTTTTTTATTTTAAATTAATATATTTTTGATATTTTAAAACCATTTTAATGTACTGAACTCAAAAATAATTTTTAAAAAATAAAAAATATTATTAATATATTTTTCATAATAAAAAATATTTTAAAAAACAATATCTATACTTTTAAATACACTAAAATAGAAAATATGTTGTACTAGTTCATAGATTTAATAAATTCTAAAGGTCAAATAATTGAATGTTGATGACCTCCAAAACTATTTTTGAATAATAAGCTAAACCAACCAAACTAATAAAATCTAAATTGAATAAATATTTTAAACCAAATTTAAAATTGAATATAAAAATAACAAGAAAATAATTGAATATTTTGCATGTCATTTTCTTTCTTTTATGGCAAAATGATCTTAGCTGATTTGAGCATTAATTTACACAATAGAAAGATTAAATGCAAAGCTGAGTGTGCTTTGACGGGCAATGTTTTAGAACTAATAATTATTATTTGGGTTTGTTTTTTAAGAATAATTATAAGAGAAAACTGTATACCTTTTTTAAATGCGAATATATTATATCCATAATCAATTGACTCCTAAATCTTTCGATTTTATTGATCTTGCCTCAAAACATAATCAATATTAGACAATATCACCCCTTCAAATATAATATACTAGGGGCTAAATTGTCAAAAAAAAAAAGGATTTAGATACCCATATATGTGGAAACCCAAAGAAAAAATGAGCTGAAATTACTATTGATGGAGAGAAACCATTAGACTAAAATTACTTCTGTAGAGAAAAATTCTAATAACAAGTAAATTTGTGATTTTGTTGCTAGTAAGAGTATTGTTATATAACACTATAAATTATATTTTGAAATTTTATATAAAAGTTTAAGTTATTAGATTGAATTAATTTTTTATTATAGTATCAGACTCTTAATAATTAATCGGTCATAAGTTTAAATCTTATTATTTTTATTTATTTAATAAAAATTAATTACAAAATAATATGGATGTATGGAGGTTTTAAACTCATAAAACTTTTATTTTAAAAAATATATTAAAGAATAATATAAATTATATTCTGAAATTTTACTAACCACTTAAATTATTGTAGTTCTTTTACAAGCGTTTTATAATTTTAAAATTTAAATTTTAAAATTTAACTCAATGGAGAGCAAAAAATCAAAAAAATATAAGTTGAGGGGCAAATTAAAATTAATTTAAAATTTTAAAACAATTAATGAATTTCTTATTAAATTTTTATTAATATTCATCAACCTAAATTATCTTGATCTTCATCGGTCTAGACCTTAAATCAATGAGGTGCCGCATCCACATATCAAGCCGGTGATAGGCTGACTAGGGTTATGGTTTCTTCTTCTCCATCGCAACCAGCAAGGAAGATTGTGGAAAAAGCAGTTCGTTCATATCATCAGCCAGGATTTTAGGTATCACTTGGATGGTGATGTCCAAGCGAACCATCTGTTGAAATCTCATTGGGCGTAACAAAAATTGATGGTAAGCATGGAGTAAATGGATGCAATTTTTTTCTCGAGTCAGAGCAAATCAAATCATGTAGTTAGAGCCCTTTTGACAAAAACTCACTAACTGGAAACTGAATTTGTGTTCCAATTTCAAATGAAATAATGGAAGAGATTGAAAGATTTTTACCAAATGATTTTCAATCAATCACACAGGGCACCAAGTGTATCCTCATTGATTTAGCAGGAATCTCTAATCTAAAAACAGCACATCGCAACCTAATTCTTTCTATTTCACTTTGATTTTTTTGTGTAGTTTGTTTTTAATTTTATTATTTGATATCTGATAGATAACAAATGGATCTTCTTATGTGGTTCTGAATTTTTTTTGTTAAATTATTATGGTTTAAATAAATATTCAAATAATTAATTAGTGTTTTACTATTTGAGGGTTTAGTTTTGTTATTGTATAATTAAATAAAAAAAAATTCAAAAAACTATTAATTTTGGTTAAGTATATTATCTGAATTAGTATTTAACAAGTTAAATTAAATTTATTTTCTGATTTAGATGCTATAATCTTTTAATTTTTCATGTATTTTTGAACCACATATAAAAAATAAATAAAAAGAAAAAGATAAATTAACATAAAAAAATTGTGTGGTTTATAAGAAGTTCAAGGAAACTCCAAGAAACAACAAGGCTAAAAGCAATAAAAAATTAACAATATCATTTAAAAATAATAATTTTTTATTTTTAAAAAATTAATTTTATATCAACAAATTAAAATAATTTAAAAACGTATAAAAATAATAAATTTTACCAAAATATTCAAACAGACTTCCCAGGCACCAACCCCCTTTACAGAAGTGAAATGTGAAGAAGCTTCTTCACACAAGTGAAGCTTACCGTCGTTGTCTCAACTTTTAGTAAAAAAGGAGTCGGGTTCTTGTTAACGTCACTCCATATTTTCTTTCAGCTATGACGACACAGTAAAAAGTTGAATCAAATCTTTACTGCATGCACCTCAGAGACGCATCAAGATGTACCTTCCAACGAGTAAATTTGGTGCTGTGGGGCCCTAGTTAGGACGTCTGATTGATGGAATGTGTCTCTCTTTGTGGGGTTTGCTACTATTAATGATCATTGCAAGGGCCCCCCTTTACCAGGCTGTCAATCTACAATCATAGGTTTTTATTGTAACTCAGATTGTTTTTTATTTTAAAAATAATTTAAGAATTTTTTATTCTTTTCATTATAAATTAAGTTTTTTATATTCTATATATTTATAAAAACAACACTTTAGAAACAATAATTACTATTTTCTTATAAATCCATCGGTATCAAACCCTTCTCGATTGATTGTTCTATCAGCTGATTTACTTATTCTAGACCTATCTGAGTTTTGTCAAACTAATTTAAAAAATATTTAGAAACATGGTTGTATTTGTATTTTTAAAAATTTTATTTTTTTATTAAAAATTATTTTTTATATTTTAAATTATTTTAATATATTGATTTTAAAACTATTTTTAAAAATTTAAAAATATTATTTTAATATAAAATTTTGAAAAACAGCACAATTACATTTTTAAACAAATACTTAAATACTAATTTAAGCTAAGTAAGAGGAATTTGATAGTTAACTAGGCTAAAATCAAACTATGATTTTGTCCAAATCGATATTGTTTCATTTAAAAAGAGATCATTGTTGTTTATCTTCCTCTCTCTTTTTGTTTGCCATTCACCTAGCTTTGTACATATTTAAAAGTGTAATTATAATTATTTTTTAAAATATTTTTTATTTATAAAAATATATTGGCATAATAATTTTTTTATTTTTAAAATTAATATATCAAAATAATCTAAAAATATAAAAAAAATATTAATTTAAAATAAAAAAAATCATTTTTTTTAAAAAAATATTTTTAAAATGTGAAACAAAAATAATGAACTTTAACTTCGGTTGGTAACCTTTGATGGAGGAGGGGAGGTGGAAAACAGAGGCCATCGAGCAGTATCATTTCGTTTCACCAAACATAACCATAAAAGCTCGTTTAATTACCTAACAGCTCCGAGAGATTTCTATTTTTTTCTTTAATGGCCAGTGTTGTTACGTAGATGTCACCTTCTAATCCATCTCCCCCTCCAGGCTGTAATGAGTGGCTAGGCTCGGCAAGTTTCTAATCTTCTTAAAAGGAACATGAATCCGAACACTACTTGTTTCATATGCAGCCATGGGGAGATTCATGTCAGAGAGGACAAGGCCACAAGCTTCTTGTTTTATGGTCTCCATGGCATGATAGACTCCTCCCTCCTCCCTCTAATACCATGAGGGCTGCTGCCAAAATACCTGTGGACATCTGTGTTTTTCGACAACTTCTCTTGAAGATTGCCTCCTATCCTTTTGACATCATCCAAACCAAACAAACAAATGATCTATGAGCTTGACTACATCTTTTTAGTTCCTTCAGATCTTTTTTGCACAGGCCCCAGTGTCCAGGCAACAGGGGCCCCACCATATCCATTACACCAAAACGTCCGAAAGTCCCATTTGTGTACAAAATAACAGTCTCCTTCCTTTCTTTCAATTCAACCCCACGTTTATGGGCAAGCAAGTTATTCCCACATAGCACGGCGTGTGTCCATGCGAGTCTCACGCATCGACGTTGGTCTATATTGACGCAACATGGAGGAGGGGGCAAGATAAACGTCCATGCGCGTAAACCATATTGACACAACATGGAGAGCAAAGATTTAATTTCAATACGCAACAACTAATTCAGAGATACACGCGCACACACATACGTGTGTGAGTATATACATGTACGTATAAACATGTGCCTACGTGTGAATAAAATAGTGGGTACATATCAATATGCAAGTAGGTGTGAATAAAAGAATATATTCTTCATTCATTCGACTGTTATGAACTGCAAGAGTCTGAATGGAATACAAGGCCCAACAAGAGAGCAAAGAGGTTGGCCCTAACAAATGGGGTGTGTGCGCGTTATAAAATGGCAAAAACTAGCGCTACAAGCTATGTAATAAATCACACGGGAGTTAGTAAAACGTACCACTTTCTATATGTTGCATCGATCATAACCAGAGAACCATGCTGAGGGTTCCGCGAGTTTTGACAATTCACCTTCACCGTCTTCCACGTTATAAAACGGCTCAAACTCCTCTCTCCATCGTTCATCACCTTCGCTAAGAGGCTCGCCTGCATCATACTTTGGCATATCACAATGTCTTGCTTCTTTGGGCAAACGAGACTCTGCCACGAGCTCCTTTCATTGTGAGCGGGTCGTCTTGCTTCTTTCGGCAAACGAGACTCTGCCACGAGCTCCTTTAGAGAACTAACCTCGTCTTCATGTTTTCTCTTCAACTTACTAATATGTTTATTCGCCTTTACAGCTTCTTGCTCTGCCTCCATAGCTCGCCTCTGCCAGGAAATTTCTAGTTAAAGAGTGATGTTGAATAATTGCTAAGAACTATAATCGAATTTCATAATTTCTGGTAGAAACTCTATCCTGTCAAAAATGAGGGTTTTAAATTGGTACATGCAAACTATAACACAGGACACCCTCATCTTATCTTGCACATTATTCAGCATTGATCAACAAATTCGAAACGGACCATATCTAGCACATTAATATTCGCGGTACTGAGCAGCATTAATCAAAATATACCATGCTTCCCTTATAGGCTTCATGAAGCTTTTTCTCTATCTAGCTGCGTGACATGCACAGGTGTTGACAAACCCAATATTGATAAGTTGATTGCAAAGGAAGCTAATGTAAAACTGTTTTCATATTATGCGATAAATTCACAATGTTGAAGATACAATGATATGAGATTTGCATTCGAGCTCCAAAAGAAAACCAAGATTAAGTAAATGAATATACTGAAAAAGTAATTGCACAATGCAATAGAGTAGATGGTACTTGAGTGGGCAAAATGAACTGATTTACCTGATGATCACCATTAATTCGAGAGGTTTGCATGCAACATTTCTGGTGTTTGGGGCATTTTGAATGTGAAATTTCACTTTATCTTAAAACAGTTTGACTTGTCATTTAGCAAAACAGCAATTGGAATTGCTTGACTATGTAAGACACGTTATGTAGAAGTGATAAGCCCAGAAAAGGTAATAAGACTATTTGAAGGGCCTTCCTTTACTTGTTTCCTGAGCACGTGAAATGAAACTTTCAGACTAAAAGATGCATATCATGGCACGTTAAGAAAAATGATCTTAACAAAGAACACACTATTACTTGTTTCCTGAACACGTGAAATGAAACTTTCAGACTAAAAGATGCATATCATGGAACGATAAGAAAAATGATCTTAACAAAGAACACACTATTACTTGTTTCCTGAACACGTGAAATGAAACTTTCAGACTAAAAGATGCATATCATGGAACGTTAAGAAAAATGATCTTAACAAAGAACACACTAGGGTATCATGATTTGGCACTGACCTCGGCAACAACAGCAGCTTCTTCTGCTTCTTTCAACCTCGCAAGCAATTCACCCGCTGCTTGTACAGCTTCAGCAGTGTCCCTCAGTTGAGCCTGAAGTCCCCTGCTTTCATCTCTAAAGTATCGCCTCTCCTTTTCTCTTTCAGCTTTCAATGCAGAAATTTCAGCAGCAAGTGCATTTATGAACTTGGATTCAGCACCCCTAACTCCAGCTTTAGAAGCTGCTTTCTTGACATCATTTATTCCTTCTTGAATCTGCCTGTGCCTTGCAAGTAATTGAATATGCTTTTCCTCAAGATCCGCATACTGTTCAAGCATGCGTGCATGTCCCTCCATGGCCATTTGCATTGCTTCCTTCAGCTCTTCAGCACATCTCTTCTCTGTACCCAATTCCTGCTTCAATTTTTCAGCTAACGCCCTGCTAGCATCAAGTTCAGCTCTCAATTCTTCAGCAAGAGAAATCCACTTGCTCTCAGCATCCATCCAGCGTGTTCTCTCCATTTCAAGCTTCTCCTCCGGACTCTCCTCAGAAGATTCCTGGATTGTGTTAAGAAGGGGAGCCAAACTGGGCTCACACGAGTAGGTCAATTTCAGCAGTGAATTCCTTTTTAGAGCAGATGGGGATGAAGAGTCAGTATAGTACTGTAACTGGCTTCTTAAATCTTGAATCTCTTCCAACAAGACTTCCCTTTCACCCAAATTACAGAAGTTTCGATACTGTTCTAGCTCATCCTGTACTCTTTTCAGCTCAATATTCATCTTTGAAACTTCGGGATGATTCTCATATTTCTCCTTCAAAAGCTGTAGATATAAAATTAGATATTTATTAAAACTAATAAGCACATATGAAAATCTGAGTAAAACAGCCATACCTTGTGCTCGTGCATGAGTGCTGCAAACTCTTCCTCCATGAAATCCTTAGTAGATAAAACACCATCCATGAGGCTCTCAAGCCGAAGAATTTTATCTTCCCTTGTCTGCCCTATTATGGAATTGCATTCCCTCTCATGCTTGTATTGTTGAACCTGTAAACAATGACCAAGAAATCATTTCGACAGTAAGAAAATAACAAACTACATTGCTGTTGTCCAAAGTGGTAACCTACCAGACGGTTGAGCTGTGTTATCTCATAAGCTTGCTTGGCACAAAACTCTTCCAGGGCCATTTCTCTCCTGATTGCTCCTGCCAAAACCTTCTCCACTGCCTGTGTGTTGACAAAATAATAAAACATGATGCAGTTGGTGCGCATAAATAGGGAAGCACAACCATTAAAACCAAAGCATCAAGATGAAGCCACCATACGTACTTTAGGAACTTGCATTTTGGGTTTGTCAATAGACTCCGAGCCAACAATGGGTACTAGCTGTAGGTTTGAGCTGTCATCGACATCTTTCACCTCTAGCTGCGTTTTGGTCTTGCAATTCGCACACAAGAATACTCTTTCTGATATCTCATCATCTTGAGGAAAAGTTTGCACACCCACATCAACAAGCGGAAGCAGGTTAGATTCTGCAGGTTTACAGGCAAACCTGAATGACAATTGCCTAAATACAGAACTCTTGCGATGACTATCAATAATTTCCATGCCACGGTGAAGGCTCGCCGCTAAATGTTCAGTTGGTGCAAGACAACTCTTACTGGTTTGAGCAGTTAGAGCAGCAGAAGAGTTGGATTTTGCAAAAGAAATACATATGTTCTCTGGTCCTGGCTTGCTTTCATCTTTGGAATCTTTCTGGGAAGCAGTTAACGTTGATGAAGTCCGCAAACTTTTCCTGCTGCTGCTGATTCTAGGCGAAACACTTGGAGTTGGAGATTTAAGAACAGGAGAAACTTCAGAAGGAACTATACTGAGGCTAGAAGGAGACACGCAATTCACTGTCTCATTTTGAGAACCATTGGGTTCACCTGTGGCAGAAATGCCAGCGGAATTTCCATTTTCAGAACCAGAATTAGTGCATGAGGGCCCAAACACCACCATTTCATTTGGTGATTCTTCTGTTATCAATTTACTCGCAGAGGAACTAAGAAACCTTTTCTCCTCAACTGGCTCCTCACAGGATTCTGCATCAGTTGTGTCAATAAGTAAATCAACTGAACTTTCTAGTATATGTAAGAGTGAAACTCTCATTTAAAGATGTAAATTCATGACAAATAGTAGCATCAACGTTAAAAAAACCTGAAGTGTTTCTAGCAGGTTTAGCACAACTCGAAATCAGAATTTCATGATTCTCAGCTTGTACAGATATTGCTTCTTCCATGTCAACATCTGTATCCTCAGTCCCTTGTTCGATGATAGATCTACCTTCATCAACATAATTCTCATCTGCAGAGCCTGCTGGTCCCAGGCCTACTTGAATGCAGAGTTTTTCAACAGCTTCCTCATCAATTTCCATCATCTCATCACCATCTTCATCTACTTGAGGTAATCGAGGAAGTGGATGGATAAGGCTTTTCAATATATTCAAACTTTTACGGGGATCCCAACCTGTTGGATTGTTGCTATTTGCTTTCACTCGGTGCAATTCATCCTGTTGCATTTATCCAGAGTCATGTATTTGCTTAACTTCTCATCTATTAAAACAGGAATATTAATAATTGAGAACAAGAGTCTACCCTTAGCTGCCGTATTACTTCACGCAAGTGATTCACATCATCCTCCACCTCTTCATTAACAATGGCCTTATTCTTGATTGCCTTAGCACGCTGTGCAAATCGCAATGTACTGAAAGTTTCACTCTTACAACTGCATTTTTGATTCACATGAACTTCCATTATGAGAGCGAAGAAGAAAAGAGTGCTTTAAGCCAGCAGTGTCTGCATTGTTTACCTTTGTGCTGGAGAAATAGCACACACCATTGCTAGTTTGGCATTGCCACCAAGTGATTCCTGTAATAAAAAGGTCAACCTGGAGTCTCGGTAAGGTATATGCCTTTGCTTTCCTGTTTGAGAAATCTCAGCAAGAATGTTTATCAAGTTCCTGCAAATATAATAATTCATCACAATGGGAGGAAATGTCTCTCTTGATGCATGGTTAGATGAACAAGTTCATTAGAAATTGCATCTTTGAAGCAGCTCAAACTCATTTTCGAAAATACATCATAGAACAGATTGTAAGAACAGAAGGCAAGCAAAAATTTTATCATCTATGTTGGACTTCATAAGTGCATGAGATGATTCTACCATGAACTTGACTCTATGACGGGCTCCTTCCTGCATCTATCATTCCTGAACTCAAATCATTCCTGCATCTATCATTCCTGAACTCAAACATTCTCATATTTAAGTACTCTGCATTTAGCTCTTAACTTTTAATAGCAAATCAGGGGGAGAAAGAAGAAGAAGAAGAAGCTCTTAAAACTTCTACCTCCAGACCATCCTACATTATTCTTTTAATTCTACAATGCACTTCCTTTTGTTTTATAAACAAATAAAAATCCAGGCTGAGGTTTCGACAAAGCAAATTTTCATTTTCATTAATTTCTCAAAATGAAGGGTGTACAATGAGAGAAAAGGCTTCTAATGCTAACTATTTTCATCCCAATTTAAATGGCATTTTGCACTTAGTCAATTTAATCATTTGCTTCAAATAAACTATCACAATTTCAGAATTTCTAAAATTCATAGAACTGGGGAGGATAGACTTTAAACCAAACCAAATGACACCTCCTTTCTTTTAGTCACATTACTAAATCCTCATGTTGATGTGCTCTGGTTCATTTGGATGATCCATGATCCATAGTTCTACAATGGCATTACGTTCAGCTTTTTCTTGAACGTTCATATGTACCAATAAGATCTCATTTATTTTATTGAGCTCATTCTTTATCATGCACCAAAACTTTTTCCATATGTAAAAGCTCTCCCATCATATGTATATGCTTGACATGCTAGCATAACAACAAGTAATTGAAGAGAGTTGATTTTGCCTTTTTTGTAGGTAAATTAACTTCAGACAACTGTTCAGAGGCAGTATATGCACGTATAATTACAATTCAAAGTTGCAGTACTATATTAAGAGCTCAGTCAAGTGCCAGATTATTTTATGTTTTACTTTTCAGGTAAAGTCAATATCATAAATGTTGTAAAATCAGAACTGAATAAAAATTAGAAGATTTATTTTTTTGACAACAATGTTATTTACTGTAGCTACACTGATTTTACAACAACTTGAAACTTGGCAAAAAAAAAAAAAAAAAGAATGAAATTGATAGCTAAGATATGACCATACCCGAGCTGTGACAGAGATCGGTTAATATTCCCTGCTTCCCTCAACCGTTCCCCTGCAGTGCCAGTTAACTTCTGTCTCTCTGATCCAGCTAGATCAACAAGATTTATTCTGCTTGTTTTCAAGCTGCTCATTCCATCTGCCATGCTCTATAAGATAACATTTTACTTTAGAATCCCTCTGGCAGAAAATGTAAGACAAAATCAACAAAGAAGAAACATGTTCAATAATTTACAAATTTTTGTTCATGTTGCTACTTTCTGTTCTAATTGCTATATTCATGAGCAAATATTGTAACCAGACTTCACAATATCCCAACTTGCTTAGCTGGAAAATCTTTTTCGGAGGAAAAATGAAGTTCAAATCCCACCAACAGAATCAGAACCTCTACCAGAAAGGAAAAAACCAAGAAAAAGAATAGAAGTCTGACAACATACTTAATTCCATAGGATGAAAATAAATAGCATAGATGCATACATGAGTAGTGAAAGTACTACCTTGCAACGAGATTCAACAACACAGGTGAAAACACTATGTGAACGGGAACTCTCTGCATTTATGCTGGTTGCGCCGGTCCTCCTGTTGGATAGTCCCTGCATTTTTTATTTCACAGCCATAAACACAATGCTAGAGTTCATTTTGAAAATTAAAATTTCAAACTAGGAAGAAGTTAAGGAAAATAAAAATGAAACAAGAATATGAGGTAATTCCATCCTTAAATGTAAGACTGAAAGCAGGTGATTAAGGTAAATAACAAACAGAGACTGAAGTAAGAGTGTGTATCCTGCTTCAAGGGATATGAAACACAAAATTAATAGTTGATATTGACGGCTAGTCTTGCATGTGCAGTGTAGGAGCAACTCCATCAACAGTCTACCTCCAGATTCCTTCTTAGAATGATAAAGCGAACTGAAAACCCAAATTCATTTTTAATACAAACATTTTTTACTGAACTTCAGCTATTTTCTGATCTTTATTACTCCCTTTTAATATTGTTTCTCCACAAATGCAGAGTTCCCTGCATAAGAATGCAACAATAATGGAACTACATTCTGAAACTTTTAAAAGCCTCTTACACGAGATTTGGAAATTACATGTAGTCTATTGATTTCAATTATTTTTCACTTTTCCATTTTTCACCCTGGGATATGATTTTAAAGGTGAAGATGGTTTGCACCCTCCTAGAAAGAGTTGAAAAAATGAACCAGGTTTGGAACGTGAAAACCACCATGCAACAACATTCTGAAACTTTTAAAGCCACATACACAAGATTTTGAAATTATATGTAGTCTATAAATTTCAATCATTTTTCACTTCTGTCTTTCACCTTAGGATATAATTTAAAAGGTGAAGATGGTTTTCACCCTCCTAGAAAGAGTTGAAAAAATGAACCAGGTTTGGAACGTGAAAACCACCATGCAACAACATTCTGAAACTTTTAAAGCCACATACACAAGATTTTGAAATTATATGTAGTCTATAGATTTCAATCATTTTTCACTTCTGTCTTTCACCTTAGGATATAATTTAAAAGATGAAGATGGTTTTCACCCTCCGAGAAAGAGTTGAAAAATTGAACCAAGTTTGGAACGTGAAAAACAACCATGCAACAACATTCTGAAACTTTTTAAGTCTTGTACACAAGAATTTGAAATTACATGATATAGTCTATAGATTTCAATCATTTTTCACTTTTCTATTTTTCACCCTAGGATATAATTTAAAAGGTGAAGATGGTTTTCACCTGTTAGAGAATAATATAAATCATATCTTGGGACCTCATTTAACAGCTTAAGCTTTTAGGTGAGATGGTTCTTTGATATGGTATCAGAGCCTTGATGACCAAGCAGTCACAAGTTTGAAATCTCACCATTCTCATTTATTTGATAAAAATTAAGCATAAGGTAATGTAGACCTGTGCAAGTTTCAAGCCCAAAGGGCTTTTACTTGAGAGGGTGTGTTAGAGAATAATATAAATTATATCTTGGGACCTTACCTAACAGCTTAAGCTTTTAGGTGAGATGATTCTTTGACATCACCCTCCTAGAAAGAGTTGAAAAATTGAACTAGGTTTGGAAAGTGAAAAACAACCATACTTAAACCATTTCGTTCCATCTTTTATGCCCTAGAGTAGAAGGAACGCAAGAGTTGTCCTTGCTCCAGCCATATTTTCATCTCTTTCCAGGAAATCAAAAGAAATCATAAGAGTTCATTGCTGGTCAAGAAACACTCTAAAGAGAAACAAATTGAGGAAAAGCATCAGCGAAAAGACCCCCTACCATTTACAACCTAAACTACCAACAAATCTTCCGTTTGCTATAGTGTAAAATGAGGTCAACCTCAACATGTTTTCTATTTTTCACCCTAGGATATAATTTAAAAGGTGAAGATGGTTTTCACCTGTTAGAGAATAATATAAATCATATCTTGGGACCTCATTTAACAGCTTAAGCTTTTAGGTGAGATGGTTCTTTGATATGGTATCAGAGCCTTGATGACCAAGCAGTCACAAGTTTGAAATCTCACCATTCTCATTTATTTGATAAAAATTAAGCATAAGGTAATGTAGACCTGTGCAAGTTTCAAACCCAAGGAGCTTTTACTTGAGGGGGTGTGTTAGAGAATAATATAAAT